TGAAGTATTTCCTCAGCGACCAGCACGGATCAGCTCCAGGCATGACGAAGCCATATCGTCCACTTTTGGAAGGCCAAACAAAGTAGTTTAGCTTTCACAACGAAGCAAACAGTGCCTTCACGACATGGCGGCGGCAACAACAATACTACAGCGAGAATAAACCCTTTAAAATGGTTCTTCAGTCATCGCTGAAAAAACGCCCAACTTTCTTAGAACCTATATTTTTAGGAGTGTAGTTGGTATATTGCTTTATAATTCATAATTGTGATGTATTTGGAAGGTCCGTATTCAAATGAAAGTAATCTGCCACTGTGCAATAGATTTAAATAACTGACTTTTTCTGCAAAAACAAAATATATTTTGAAGCACATTGGGAACCAAGCAACAATGGAGCAATGTTGTAATTGTTAACTAAAACTATTGAAATAGTTTTCGGTAATTGTAATAAAAATAAAAAAAATATTGCCAGCGCAACTTGCAGAAAAATTTAGTTTTAAGTTGAAATACTACAGTTACTCAAACTGAATTAAACATAACGCTATATAGAAACAGAAATAAAATACAAATTTAAAATGAAAATATATATTTAAAAAAAACAAACAAATTCAAAATGTTATATACATTTTATAATGGTATATAAATAATACTGAACACTGCATTGGATTAAAAAAAACAACAAATTTCTCAAAATATCTTTATGTTCCACAGAGGAAATTAATAAATACTGGTTTGGAAAGACATGCCTTGAGTGAATGTCAGAATTTAAATTTTTATTCTGTAAATGATGTGCACGCAAACATGGTTATTGCTCAAATTATGGCCTGTATGAATTGTCTTAAGATCGAAGTATGGTCATTCTTCTTTATTAGATCAATTTGGTGTAAGGATCTGCATGGAAAAGATCTACATATCAGGAAAGCCTGAATAAGGAACTCCTATAGTCTCTCACACTGTTATAAATACATGACCCAGATACCACCACCTTCCTCCGATTTCCTCGACCTCCACTGCTGGTTTCACTTTGTGTTCTTTGTTCCCTGGTACTGCACCACTTACGTTTTCACAAGTAAGTTACTCGTGTATCTCCTCAACATTGAATTCAAGTGTAACAACTAAAAGAAATGCTTGTGCAAGATTATAACACTGACGACAGGCCTGTCGACAGAGAATTAAGATTTACTGAACAGAACATTAATTTCAGAGAGAATTTGTTCCTAAAACTGTGCTCTTCTTGCTCTTATGAAGCACTTCATCTTTTTGGTTCTTATTCACAGTTCTTCAACCAAACATTCTCACTTAACAGACATCTAACAAAAGTCTTTATATGATAAATCCTAGAAATCTACTAACGGTGACATTATTTCCATGGAAGACTCTTAGACAGGTGTTTGACACAGCACGAATAAATGATCAATGGACAATTCTTGACAATTACGTTATTTGAAGTCATTTATAAATGCCATGAGCACTTAGATAAGGCATTGAAATGGCTAAAAATAAAACCTCAAAATAAATGTTGCAAAAAATGTCCGCTATGCTTGTATCTGAAGCTTCGCCAGCTCATACTGTAGCTTTTCAGGAAATCACAAACAATACACAAATACAGTAGTGTTTAAACATTAACGTAGCAACAAATCAGAAATGGCACAGTCTACATGAACAGGCACACACTGGGATCACTATTAGGGGAAAACAGGCCGAATCTGTATATTTCTTTCATCTGAATTTCTCTAAAGCCCTGAGTTCGCATCCAAAGAAAGCAAAAGCATGCTAAATACAATTCGTAATTCCTTCATTACAATACACTACTTCTATAAACACAGTTTTTTGTCGTCTATGAGGATAAATATTTAGGTGAGAGAAATATTTGACGTCACTCTAACTGTATAATTCATATTTATTATATTTACAGTTGTGTTTGGAGTCACACACCTCCGAGTGTGACTTCTTGAGATGAATATTATAAATTCAGTGCAGTGTGGAAGTCAAGTAGGTCACTGTGAGCGTGATCAAATTCAAGCAATTTGAATTCATATCTAGTTATTTTAGAAGGACTATTCTGGGTTAATCTGTGCCTTTTGCATGCTGTTGATTACCACCGAAAATAATATTGACTTAAAACCTTAAAAATATTAAACAGCTGCACATATGCAAGGGGAAAGTAAACAACGGTTGTGCTGTACATATTTATTGTTGGTTTTAAAAAGCTGAGGTACAAATCGAAACTATTTTGTGTGGTAATCAGCAGTGTGCGACAGACTTCACCTACAATATTCCTTTCAGCTTCAGTAATAAGTCAGATTTGGCCCCAATAAACCCACAACAGGACTGAATGAGTAAACCAGATGAAACCGTAGTGAAAAGTTTTCCACCTCAACTTAACTTTGCAATAATCAATTCATTTTCATTCACAGTCAAAAAGCAAAAAAAAGATACACGTTTAAGGTGCTCAAATGAACTGAAATCTTTTTCTAAAAGTAAATGGTATCTATCGTACCATCCCGATGTAATCTAGTGATCTGATTTGTCATGTGATAACCATTGAAAGAGTTTTGGGAGTTCCAGATGCAGGTGAGTCCCGTGTGAAGGTGCACCTCACGTTTGATGGACCTCGTGAAACATGAGCTCGCGGGGTATCCTCGTCTCGGGTCCGTAGAGTTTGCCCGCTCGCCGCTCAAACGCCGCCACCATCTGCTTCACCACCTCATCGAAAAACACAGTCGCTAACTGCGAATGCAGCAATGAACGGAACTCAAACGAGACCTGAGGAAAAACAAAAACATCCAGATAGAAAGAGACATGGTGAGTTTACTTCCTAACAAACACTGAGTGTTGTCGCTAACTAAAACTATATATTTATTTATTTTGCTGGGCAACGATTAATCGCGATTAATCGCACCCAAAATAAAAGTTTTTGTTTATATATGTGTGTGTACTGTGTATATTTATTACGTTTATATAAAAAGACACACATACAGTATATATTTTGAAAGTATTTACATGTATATATTTATATATATATAAATATATAAACATAACATATTTTTCTGAAATATATACATGCATGTGTGTGTATTTATATATATACATAATAAATATACACAGTACACACACATATGTTATGTACACAAAAAGTTTTATTTTGGATGCGATTAATCGCGATTAATTGTTGTCCAGCACTAGTAACATGAATTGGGGAAGAAAAAAAAACTAAAACGTTAATATAAAATCAAATACAAAAAAATGTAAATTTATTTTATTTCAGTTAGTTGGCAAGTTTCTAATTTTCACAGTTTAAGGTGAAATACTAAAATTACTAATAAAAGCTAAATAGACATAAAAAAACAACTATTAACTGATAAAACCAACAAAACAAAAAAACGACAACAACAAAATTACTAAAACGTAAACAGCAATAAAATCAAATAAAAGCTAAACAGACATATTTTTAAAAAACTAAAACTAATAAACCCAATAAAAAAAGCACAACAACAACAAAAATGTCTAAAACTTCTAAAACTAAAATAAAAATAAAAGCTAAATTGACATATTTAATAATAATCTGCCAAAAAAAACATACTTAAATTACTAAAACATACCAAAAGGAAAATGAAAAATATAAAACAACTAATTCAAAATATTAATGAATACTCTCTGTTTTACATTCTGCAAGTTTGTCAGGCCTAGCAACAGTAACCAAGGGGGGTGGAGCTTAGCGAAGGGTCAACTGGAAGCAAACGTTTGTAAATGATACTTACAGAGAAGTCTACAGTGCATGTGCGAGGATAGCCAGGAATACCGGGACTAAACCGCCATATTGTCTCTAAATGATTGAAGAGTTTACCGTCCGAACACACAGCCTGAAATGGGGAATATAATTATTTACAAAATTTCTGTTTCTTTTCATTTCAGTGATGATGTTGTAGAGCACACAGAAGGCTTACTTTGACCAGATGTGGACGGACATGGCTTATCATTGAAGTGTATCGCTCAACAACCGGAGGGAAGCCCACTTCCAGGTGAGCTTTGGCATGACCGGCTCTTTTCATGATGGTCTGGGACTTTTTACACCACGGTACAAAGTGTTTGTAGTCATCCACGTTGGCTACCACATCATACATCTCTTGCATTGAGTACCTAAAGACCAAAATCCAGGTACATCTTTTTAATCTTAGAATCAAGTTGAAATAAATACAAATACTTTCAGAAATGGACAATAAAACGTTGTTGTTATTATCAACTAAATTCATTTAGAATCATTTTTGTCATTTGAAATAGAGCTGAAATAACATAAAATATACTACTTAAACTGAAATTATATTAATAGAAATATTTAAAAATTAAAATATAACAATAAAAGCTCATTCAAAAGCTATAAATGTGTTTTGTTCTACTTTACGTCATTTCTGTTGATAGGTACTACAGGACAGAGTGTCACATAAGGGACACAATCATTATGATTTCATGTCTAAACTGCCGCATTTGATTTAAATCATGGTAATAAATGATATGGGTGCATAAATCCAATGACAACAATGAACAGATATTAATAATTCCAGCAAAAGGAGTGTCATTTCACTCCACCTCACTAGGGGAAGATGTGCGGTTTGTGTACATTTCATAATAAAAGTCAATGAGCGAAGAATAAATCATAAAAAGACAGAAATTCTAAATGTCAGTAAATGTATTTTGTCATTTGTATATTGTATAGGTTTTCAAGTTTAGTTTAAGTTTTAATATTTTTTTGTGTGTGTGCTTTCGTCATGTATTATTTTTTCTGTTTTAGTACGTCGGCTTTTCATCTAATATTTACTATTCGATTTGATTTATTTTCGCTTGATTTCGATTAACAAAAACATCGCTTTTCGTTTTCGTTAACAACAACACTGTTTTATTGTCCCTTAATATAAACGCTTGATAAATGCTCTTGATAAATTGAAAATGAAACGTCTATAAGGTGGTCTTTCCTGAGTCATTTTTTTAATACGCTGATAATAAATCAGCCTTGCATGTTCATATGGGTTTAATTGAATTTTATACTCACGTTTATTTATGTAGTACACGCGTAGGGGATGATGGGAATTGTAGTTCTTCAAACTGCATTGGGTTAAGGTTAGTAGAAGCGCGTGGAAGTTGAAGTGAAAGTCCGTGTGCGTCTAACCTCACATTTTCTTGCGTTTTGCGTTTATGAACCTGAGAACACCTGCTGTAATGTCCACATAGATGTGCGAGAAACCTATTTTGTGTGATACAAAGTCCTCGAGCGGGTAAGTTTGTATGTCAGTTGCATGTCAACAGCATAGCAAAACAACTTAGCAAACTCTTCCTGTGTCAGTGCTACAGCAATACTGCATGTAGTTGTGGTAGGTGTCTTCATTTTATAGCCAAGGACATCAGTTTGTTTCATTATTTTTACTTTTATTATTTTCGCCTGGTTAATTATGTGAACTGGTTCTATTAAAAAGCTTGTAGTTGTAAATATATATATATATATACATTCAATAAAATGTTACATTAAAAGGCTATTTCCAGAAACTCGCTGAATGTCCGCACACCCATCGGGATCCGCCGGGCGCCTCCTGACACGGCCATCAGAAATATCGAGCTTCACCTATTCAGTGTGTGTACAATGATGACAATTAATCTCGAATAACACGATCAACACAGGAATACGCAAGCGCTCGCTGTCATTTTCAGTGACCAAAGCCACGCTGTGCGTTAAATCATATTTCGACTTCAATAGCCCTTTCCCCTGCGATTCCGCTGAAACCGATTGAGGTTAAACCGGTGAAGCCTTCATAAGCTGCCGGCGTGCGGGACACACTGTTCTGATGCGGCACCGTGCAGCTGCCGCCAACTGGACCGGAGGAGGACAGAGTGTCACATAAGGGACACAATCATTATGATTTCATGTCTAAACTGCCGCATTTGATTTGAATCATGGTAATAAATGATATGGGTGCATAAATCCAATGACAACAATGAACAGATATTAATAATTCCAGCAAAAGGAGTGTCATTTCACTCCACCTCACTAGGGGAAGATGTGCGGTTTGTGTACATTTCATAATAAAAGTCTACGAGCGAAGAATAAATCATAAAAAGACAGAAATTCTAAATGTCAGTAAATGTATTTTGTCATTTGTATATTGTATAGGTTTTCAAGTTTAGTTTAAGTTTTAATATTTTTTTGTGTGTGTGCTTTCGTCATGTATTCTTTTTTCTGTTTTAGTACGTCGGCTTTTCATCTAATATTTACTATTCGATTTGATTTATTTTCGCTGGATTTCGATTAACAAAAACATCGCTTTTCGTTTTCGTTAACAACAACACTGTTTTATTGTCCCTTAATATAAACGCTTGATAAATGCTCTTGATAAATTGAAAATGAAACGTCTATAAGGTGGTCTTTCCTGAGCCATTTTTTTAATACGCTGATAATAAATCAGCCTTACATGTTCAAATGGGTTTAATTGAATTTTATACTCACGTTTATTTATGTAGTACACGCGTAGGGGATGATGGGAATTGTAGTTCTTCAAACTGCATTGGGTTAAGGTTAGTAGAAGCGCGTGGAAGTTGAAGTGAAAGTCCGTGTGCGTCTAACCTCACATTTTCTTGCGTTTTGCGTTTATGAACCTGAGAACACCTGCTGTAATGTCCACATAGATGTGCGAGAAACCTATTTTGTGTGATACAAAGTCCTCGAGCGGGTAAGTTTGTATGTCAGTTGCATGTCAACAGCATAGCAAAACAACTTAGCAAACTCTTCCTGTGTCAGTGCTACAGCAATACTGCATGTAGTTGTGGTAGGTGTCTTCATTTTATAGCCAAGGACATCAGTTTGTTTCATTATTTTTACTTTTATGATTTTCGCCTGGTTAATTATGTGAACTGGTTCTATTAAAAAGCTTGTAGTTGTAAATATATATATATATATATATACATTCAATAAAATGTTACATTAAAAGTCATTTTTGAATTTGTGATTAAATGGGATCAATTTGATTAAATTTTTTTATTTCCTTAAAGGAATATGGATTCTGTACATTGCTGGAATGGAGCAAAAGGTGACCAGATCCCCACTAGGGCTAGACCCATGTCAGACACCTTATCCAAACTGGCCCAACTGATCACTTGCATCGAGTACAAACCAAAACAACAGCGGTCTTCCTCCATCTGCAAAGACTGTGGCAACAAATTCTCTGACCAGAAGAGTCTTGAGCATCACCAGAAAAGAGAGCACGCCCTGCAGAAGCTCCATTGCTGTCAACACTGTGGCCAAAAATTTGCTTTGCTCTCTAGTTTGCAGCTACACAAATGTTCTCGCACCTCATCCATGTGCCAGACATGCATGGGGAAATCTCAGAGGGGTTCTTCTTGCCCTTCCTGCGGGACTGAATCTTCAGAAGTTCCCTTCTATCATGACAATAGCCCCTATGCGTGCGCTCCATGCGGACAAGCCTTCAGCCACAAGCAAGAGCTGCTACTCCACCAGCAGGCTGGAGGCTGTGAGCCCGCCAAGACTCTCAAACCTCCTCCACCTTCAGATGTCTCCTCGCCTCCGTCTCCTCCAAGCGCCAACTCATCTCTTACCACATGCACTTTGTGTCACAGAAAGTTCCATTCTTCTGCTGGACTTGGTTGCCACATGCGCTTTTCCCATGCGCACATGAAAAGCAGCACAGAGAAGAAAAGAGTTGTCATTGTAAGTACATTGAAGAAGAAGAAGAAGAAAGTTCTCATCTCAAGTTCGTCGTTTCCATGCCGTTCCTGTGACGAATCATTTCCTAAGATATCACTCCTCCATCAGCACAGGAAAGAGGAACACCGGCGGGAGATAAAGGTGAGGAAACTGCAGCGAACCTCTTTGAAGACCACCAGGCGAAGGCGAAAAGGTGAAACATATCCATGCCTCCATTGCGGAAAAGAGTTCCTGCACCATCTGACGCGTCTGGCGCATTTTAGACACTACAGCTCTCACCATGAGACCCACCTCAAATTGAGTGGCAAATCATCCGGCGCTGACGCAGCTGGGTTCCGCCCAAAGGCAGCTAAGCAGCTCAGACCTTCCCAAGAAAAAAGACCAAGAGGTAGACCTAGGACCAAAAATCTACCTGTTTTGATGGAAACCAAGCACAAGGAAGAAGAGCAAATGGATAAGCAGGATGATAGTGATGAAGACGAGGATGCCGAGTATCCTTGTACGTCATGCGACCAGGTCTTTAGCTCCAAAGCTAAGCTGCATGTCCATGAGAAAGTCCATGAGGAATTCCCTGAGGAAGTCCCTGAGGAACACACTCAACCAGCCGACACATGCAGGTGCTGTAGTGTGTGTACAGGTGGGATTCCCCTCGCTGAGATTCCAGAAGATTGTGAAAAGAAAGTCTATCACTGTGTGCCATGTGCCGAGGCGTTCATAGCTCTGAACACTTTTCTAGAGCACTGCCAGACACATCTGATACGTGAAAATGAAGATGAATTCAGTGAGGATTGAAAGAGCTTCCATTTTTTTAAGGAATTGTTCACTAAAAAAAAAAAAAAAATCTAATTTTCTCACCATCATATTCTAATCATGTTAACTGTTATTATTTTTTCTTACAGAACATACTTTTTTTTTTTTAAAGAACCATTGCATTTAGACAAAAAGCACCTTAAAAGTGCTTCTAAAATGAATATTCTTTACATTTTTGTGTATGCATATAGGTTTTTATGAATAAATAATTATGGAATTGAAATTATTTGGTGAACTATTCATCATTTACTCACCCTAATGTCGTGGAACACAAAAGACGATTGTTTTGAAAAATACTGATAACCGAAGCGTTTTGATTCCCATTGACTTCCATTGTATTTTTGTCCATTTAATGGAAGTCAGTTTCAACTAAAACAGTTACAAACATTTTTCAAAGTATCATCTTGTATGTTCCACATAAACAGTCGTACATGCTGACATAAGGGTGAGTAAATGATGACAGGGTTTACATTTTTGGGTGAACTGTCCCTTTAAGGGCAGGGAAATCAGTCTGCAGATGTTCAGGCTATCAGGAATTATATTCAGCAGGCATTTTTGGTTTTGGTAAACTGTCTGAATATTATCAGTATTTTACAGGTTTTGATTTCTGTGGTTCATGAGGTATAATGTTGTAAACAGGACAACTCACTTCCACCAATCTGAGCCAAACTGCCAGAAAAATAATAGAGGCCTTTGATAAGATCGACAAGCCAATTGCATTTTGTCAGATACGGGTACCTAATTAAAACCACTTCAACTTCAGGATCAATGTTCTCATACCTCTATACCGATATAGAAGTCATATCCATTATGTTACTGTGAGAATATGGTGAATTTAATATTTTGACATATACACATAAATGAATTCTTTTTTCTAGATAGCCAGTGCCTCGCTGAAACACAAAACCAGCTTAATGTATGTACTGCTTCTTGTTGTCTGTCAAGTTGGAGGATGTAATATCTTTGTATTTGCTAGATTCGGCTACTGAAGTGTTTCAGCTTGTTTTATTATATAGCATTTTACTTACATTGTGAGATTTCTGTTTCTGTATTTCGTAAACTACATGAAACAAAGTAAGCTTTATTCTTCTAAAATTGTAGAAGCTTTACAGATAGTAGCATGCCTTATATACATGATATTTTATGCTATCAGACCAAATATTGCAAGTATAATTTCATAAATTTTTTACTAGACTGGATGAATGAATTATGTGCTGATATGAGACCTCAGATTAGGTGACTCGGGCAACAGAACAAGTCCATTTTATTGTTTAATTTGTATATCAGGGCTTCTTAACCTTTAATAATCGTCATTTGTTTCTGATGTTTTATGTAACACTTCTAACATTTTCTCTTCCTAACACCAAAGGCTGCAGTGATTTTTTTTTTTGCACTAACTTTTTTTTGTTGTTGTCTTTGAACACTGTATAATATTCACTTTATGACTCAAATTGAAAATGATGTGGTGCAAAAGTGTAAGTGCAAATATAACTATATTTCCCCCCCAAATCTTTTATTAAGAATATAGACTGGAGGCTTTTTAAATTTAGTTCTCTAGATTAGTGTCTGGGTGTGTTCACTTGCGGCTACCTCTAGTATCACCTGCTTTGTCCCAAGATGTGTGATGATTTTTTTTTCTTTTGAATAACATTTGTCAGAAAATTTACCTCATGTTATGCATTACATTGGCATTGTTTTCAAATAAATTGTTTAAAAAGTTTTGGTAGTTTTTGTTTGTTATTTTTGTCACTTTAAAAAAAAAAAAAAAACACCAGTAGCCCAAATATGGCATTAAAGAATATTTACAGGTGCATCTCAATAAATTAGAATGTCATGGAAAAGTTCATTTATTTCAGTAATTCAACTCAAATTGTGAAACTCGTGTATTAAATAAATTCAATGCACACAGACTGAAGTAGTTTAAGTCTTTGGTTCTTTTAATTGTGATTCAGTCTGTGTGCACTGAATTTATTTAATACACGAGTTTCACAATTTGAGTTGAATTACTGAAATAAATGAACTTTTCCACGACATTCTAATTTATTGAGATGCACCTGTAGTTTTTCCTAAAGATAAGTGACATTACATTGTGCAATGTTATTGAAGGTCATCCTCCGCTACAGTAGGGGGCGATATTTCACACGGTGACTGGTACAGAAAATCCCGCGACCTAGTACGCGTCTTCCGCCACTGTTCATACATTGTTTGAAACGTGTTTCAAACGGTTCTGTTTTACAAAACTATCTGATCTAACGAAATAAACATGAGCAAAGCACACCCGCCCGAGCTGAAAAAGTAAGTATTTCAAGCCCTTTGTTGGTTGTGATCGTAAGTCTGATAGAAATGCGTTAATTTGAGCATTGCGTTATTCTACTGCGCTAGCCGGTTTGTCTGCATTTATTTCACAACTAACAGCTACATTATATTATTCAAATTTAACGCAGAAAACCCACATGCTATTTCATTTTTGTTACACTTTCATATGAATTCGGTTTAAATGTTTGGTCCAGTATCTGTAAAACAGTACCCGTTTTGTTCTTGCCTTTTAGGTTTATGGACAAGAAGCTTTCACGTGAGTATAATGCAAATGCAAGTATTATCCAGAAAAAGAAGAGCGTGAGAAATCTGGAAATCTCCATAATATCCTAGATATATTTTATTTCAACAGTATGTGATTGTAACCTTGAATGCAAATAAATAACCTTATCTAAATATATGTTCTTCTAATAAACCCACATGATAACTCCGTTCCGAATGTTGTTTTCATGCACACTTTCAGTTAAGCTCAATGGTGGCCGTCATGTTCAGGGCATCTTGCGAGGATTTGATCCCTTCATGAACATGGTCGTAGATTCACTAAAAATGTTTTTTTTTATTGGTGTTATGAAGTATTCTAATTTGTTGAGATAGTGAATTGGTGGGTTTTTGTTAAATGTGAGCCAAAATCATCACAATTAAAAGAACCAAAGACTTAAACTACTTCAGTCTGTGTGCACTGAATTTATTTAATACACGAGTTTCACAATTTGAGTTGAATTACTGAAATAAATGAACTTTTCCACGACATTCTAATTTATTGAGATGCACCTGTAGTTTTTCCTAAAGATAAGTGACATTACATTGTGCAATGTTATTGAAGGTCATCCTCCGCTACAGTAGGGGGCGATATTTCACACGGTGACTGGTACAGAAAATCCCGCGACCTAGTGCCTAGTACAGCACTTCCGCCACTGTTCATACATTGTTTGAAACGTGTTTCAAACGGTTCTGTTTTACAAAACTATCTGATCTAACGAAATAAACATGAGCAAAGCACACCCGCCCGAGCTGAAAAAGTAAGTATTTCAAGCCCTTTGTTGGTTGTGATCGTAAGTCTGATAGAAATGCGTTAATTTGAGCATTGCGTTATTCTACTGCGCTAGCCGGTTTGTCTGCATTTATTTCACAACTAACAGCTACATTATATTATTCAAATTTAACGCAGAAAACCCACATGCTATTTCATTTTTGTTACACTTTCATATGAATTCGGTTTAAATGTTTGGTCCAGTATCTGTAAAACAGTACCCGTTTTGTTCTTGCCTTTTAGGTTTATGGACAAGAAGCTTTCACGTGAGTATAATGCAAATGCAAGTATTATCCAGAAAAAGAAGAGCGTGAGAAATCTGGAAATCTCCATAATATCCTAGATATATTTTATTTCAACAGTATGTGATTGTAACCTTGAATGCAAATAAATAACCTTATCTAAATATATGTTCTTCTAATAAACCCACATGATAACTCCGTTCCGAATGTTGTTTTCATGCACACTTTCAGTTAAGCTCAATGGTGGCCGTCATGTTCAGGGCATCTTGCGAGGATTTGATCCCTTCATGAACATGGTCGTAGATGACAGTATAGAAATGGCTCCTGGAGGACAAATGAACTCCATTGGGATGGTGGTCAGTACTTAATATCACAATCTGGTATCAAACAAATGACATAACTGATGGTGAAACAAAACTAGCTGGCACAAGTATCATATAAATAGACATTACAGTTCAGGTAATAGTTATATTGAATTGATCGTGGATATTGTATATCACTCAAAGATCAACAAGCAGCTTGATGTGATGTGATGTGATGTGTTTTATTCTGTGCAATGATGAATGCTCATTTTGTGTGTCTTCAGGTGATTAGAGGAAACAGTATAATCATGTTGGAGGCTCTTGAACGAGTATGAGGATGATACCCACTTTTTTCCCCCCTGCTTTTTTTGTATCCAGCAAATATGGAAAAAAATTGATATCTCATGTCTGTTCACAACAAAGACGTAATACTAAAGCAGAAATCCTTGATTGTGTTGAAAAATATTGTTTTATAAACGCCTCCCTTGTTTTATGTACTTTCCTATGTCTGTAGAAATGTGTGTACACAATTCATACATTTTTGTGAATAAATGGACTACAGTGCGATTAATCCAAAGTCTTTTTTTGTTATTCACTTTTCATTAATATTTGATTTCATATTCAAACTGTGTCAACATTTCCATTGCCTTGGTAGCTGTATGCATTTGAAGCAAATCAATCATCTTGACTTGTTAGGATTTCAAAGAGTCCAATTCTGTTAAACTGTACAATTTGCACAGTGTACAGTTATTCTTTGTCTAATCTAGCATTATTAGATATGTTTTTTTCTGTTGCCAGTGATAGGACAGGATATGATAATAAATGTCTTTGTCCAAAAAAATTAATTCTGTATAAAAATGTCTGCAATAAATTAGAAAAAATGTTAGTTCATTGTTTTTTTTTTAAATGCTGTCGGTATACTTTACTTTCCAGTCCTGTGTCGTGTGATGGCTTTTTATTTACTAAGCGTAGGTGAGCTGTAATCAATCTCCTTTAAATGAGGCGAGACTTTTATTTTGTCGGGAAGTTGGCCGGATTTGCCCGTGACGTCAGGCGGCTAGTGTGTCTTGAACGAGTATGAGGATGATACCCACTTTTTTCCCCCCTGCTTTTTTTGTATCCAGCAAATATGGAAAAAAATTGATATCTCATGTCTGTTCACAACAAAGACGTAATATTAAAGCAGAAATCCTTGATTGTGTTGAAAAATATTGTTTTATAAACGCCTCCCTTGTTTTATGTACTTTCCTACGTCTGTAGAAATGTGTGTACACAATTCATACATTTTTGTGAATAAATGGACTACAGTGCGATTAATCCAAAGTCTTTTTTTGTTATTCACTTTTCATTAATATTTGATTTCATATTCAAACTGTGTCAACATTTCCATTGCCTTGGTAGCTGTATGCATTTGAAGCAAATCAATCATCTTGACTTGTTAGGATTTCAAAGAGTCCAATTCTGTTAAACTGTACAATTTGCACAGTGTACAGTTATTCTTTGTCTAATCTAGCATTATTAGATATGTTTTTTTCTGTTGCCCGTGATAGGACAGGATATGATAATAAATGTCTTTGTCCAAAAAAATTAATTCTGTATAAAAATGTCTGCAATAAATTAGAAAAAATGTTAGTTCATTGTTTTTTTTTAAAATGCTGTCGGTATACTTTACTTTCCAGTCCTGTGTCGTGTGATGGCTTTTTATTTACTAAGCGTAGGTGAGCTGTAATCAATCTCCTTTAAATGAGGCGAGACTTTTATTTTGTCGGGAAACTTTGCCGGATTTGCCCGTGACGTCAGGCGGCTAGTGTATGGTATGTGCGCGCACTGAGGCTGTAGTGTTCTGTGGAGAGTAATGTCGGAGGAGGTTGGGAAGAAAGTGCAGGCGGTGGTGGACCGGGTGAATCAAGCGGTTTCCCGGCGCCCGAAGGTCAGTTTTCATCGCTTTCTTTTGAGTAAGACACGAAACAACAATGTGCTTTTAAAATACTCTAAAAAAACGAACTCGTGTTTACCATATTGTTATGGCAGGGTTATGTAATCTGTTCAACCTTTACACATACGCGAGCTCCATATAGTAACTAGGGATGATTGACAGCTGGTTAATTATAGCTAAAACATTTTTTTGTAATACATTGGATTCATGAAAGTGTTGGAAGGTGTTCAGAATGACGGTATTGAATTTGAATAGAGTGTAACTTCTACTCCAGGAGAAGGACGTTGTGTGAACGAATGCATGTTGCATGAAATATCTCATTCTCAGCAGTCACGCTCCAGCAAATGAAATCTGCATGACATGCGCCAATTACATGCACTTCAAACTCTGACATTACATTAAGCCTTTACATATCACTGTGTAAACAAGGAGCAAATAGATTGCCACGTGAGGATTTTAAGTTTGATGGTGGTTAAAGTAAATCATACGTTTAATCACTGATTTGTTATTGTGTGTACAGTGGTGGCCAAAATTATTAGAACACTAGTATTTCCACCAGCTAAAAAATGATTTTAAGTCAGTTATTTCTATCTTTTGCTGTAGTGTGTCAGTAGGAAATATCAGTTTACATTTCCAAGCATTCATTTAGCCATTAATTGTAATAATCCAGTGAGATTTTTGTCTGACAGCAGCCAGTGCTCCACACAGAGATCTGATCTGATCATTATCCAGTCTGCCTGGAATCACATGAAGAAACAGAACACACTGAGACAGACTAAATCCAGAAGAACTGTGAGGAACGTCTCCAAGATGCTTCAAGAGACCTTCCTGCAAAGCTACAGTACTGTTAAAGGTTTTAGGCACTTGTGTAAAAATGCTGTAAAATCAGGATGCTGTCAAAAATAATGTCATAAATGATTTTCGTTATCAATTAACTTCTATTAAGAAGTTTAAATCAACATTTAACATTTAAATCAACATTTGGTGTGATTTCCTTTGCGTTTAAAGCAGTTTTTGCACTAGGTACACTTGCACAGAGTTTTTCAGGGAGCTTTGCAGGAGGGTCTCTTGAAGCATCTTGGAGACGTGGCCACTAGAGATGCACCGATTGCAATTTTCTTGGCCGATTCCGATTTTTTTTGTTAGTGTGATCTGCCGATACCGATTTTTGCCGATTCCGATTTTCTTTCTAAGAACTATAATTGACAGCATATACAAACAAAAATCTACTTTTCTTCAATGCAAAGTTTTATTTTCATAAAAAAACAAGTAAAATGTAATAAAATAAGAACAAAACAAAAAAATTGCAAACAACAGCACAAATAAATGCAATAGAATAAAGAGCGCTATGAAACTAAGTTTTTCAGGTTAAGTACGTTTTTATTCAGTTAAGAAATACTACCGAAATTAAAGAAATCAAATGGAAAATAACACATCCAGTGTTATTTTACATTTGATTACTTTAATTTGTATTCAGTCAAGAGCAGAAAATGATTTTCTTTGTCTTTTGTTCTTTGATTAACATGACAGACAGCAGCAGGAATATTGAACTGCGGTCCCTTTAAGAGTTATCCACGGACCCAATATACTGTTACAACCTGCGTTCTCTTTCTCAACTATTTACCGTTCCAAAACTGACTGTGTTTAACTGGATATTCGCCAAAGCAGGCATTTTGACATAATTATTTATGTATTTGAACGTTTTAGCGCAGTTAGCCACTCATTTTGGTATTTGTGGCTCACAAGCTGTTTGAGACTGAGGGCGGATTGTGCACTCCACTAATATAGATCAGTGGTGGTGGTGGGAATGACTAAAATAATGTGCAATACAAGCACTATTTAACCGGAGCGAATGAGACGTGTGTGAGAGAGAAGGGGTCGTCGGAGAGAAGAGAGTGAGAATGCACGGCTGACGTTATTGCCTGGTAGCAAAACGGATCAGCTTGAAATCGGAAAGAAGTGAGACTGACCGGCCGATCATGAGGAAAATCGGCCGATTCCGATACCTGGCCGATCGATCGGTGCATCTCTAGTTGCCACAGTTCTTCTGGATTTAGTCTGTCTCAGTGTGTTCTGTTTCTTCATGTGATTCCAGGCAGACTGGATGATGATCAGATCAGATCTCTGTGTGGAGCACTGGCTGCTGTCAGACAAAAATCTCACTGGATTATTACAATTAATGGCAAAATGAATGTTTGGAAATGTAAACTGATATTTCCTACTGACACACTACAGCAAAATAAAGAAAGAACGGATTTAAAAAAAATTTTAGCCAGTGTAAATACTAGTGTTCTAATAATTTTGGCCACCACTGTATATGTTGTATTATCTGTATATACTGTATAGTAACAATATTTAACATGAAATATTTTAACATTTTACAATACTATTGCAGAAATTGCCCCCAGAATCTATTCTAGTGGGGCAAATATTGTATTAAGAAAAAGTTTATTTCCGACGCTGCTAAGCAATAAGCTTAGTAATATTAGCAATAAGTATTTTACTTTTCTCTTGCAGACGTTACCATGTATAGCCCCTCGTCTGGTTGCGGTTAGTAAGACTAAACCACCAGAGATGGTGGTGGAGGCTTACAAACATGGACAACGAAACTTTGGAGAGAATTATGTGAGTAAATAAATAAGTATGCATGTTTTGAAGCTTGGTCACGTATTTCGTATTAAATATCCCCTTTTTCCGCAGGTAAATGAACTTGTTGAGAAAGCTTCCCATCCCCTGGTATGAAGTCAGACAAATTGAAATGTATTTGTTAAGTTGTTTTTGATCAAATGTCTTGATCAATGCAAAACATCTTTGTAGGTTGTCTCATCATGTCCAGAAATAAAATGGCATTTCATCGGTCATCTGCAAAAGAATAATGTCAACAAACTCTTGGGTGAGCAAAGCAGTTTTACATTTAGCTTGACTTTAAATACTAGATTGACAGTAACTACTTAGTAATGTTAGACCGAGTGATAGGTTTAGGACTTTATTTTATTCTGAATTAACCCACATTCATTTAATTCAATCATAGGTGTCTCAAACCTGTATATGGTAGAGACAATTGACTCTGCGAAACTGGCTGAAAAAGTCAACAGCTCGTGGCAAAAAATGAGAGCTGCAAACACACAGCGGTTAAAGATTATGGTTCAGATCAACACCAGCGGAGAGGAAAGTGAGTATTCTTCACCCAAATCATCAGCTGTGAAAATGTTACAAATTCCTATCAAAATCTACATACAGTATTTTGCTATTTTATGAGAATTAAAATCAAGAATTTAGTGTGATTTGGGAGTATCAAATATTACAAAATTGTATCTTTCATTGTTGCTCAAGCCTATTTTTCATATTTTTCTCAACATGTCACAGCACATACAACTTTCCTTACTTTCAGGCACATTATTAAAACCCAAAATGGGTTGCAAAAACCCATTTGAACTCTTAATGAGACATTAGTCAGTAGTACTGTACAAATGAAATGTCCTTTGCATGCTTATATTGTTACAAAATCACTTGTGATGCTTTGCATTTTATTAGATGTTTGTGAAATCTACAGATTCACAGTTGGGAGCATCATACTGGGTTTCAGATGTTTTATGCAATTTTGTTGCAAAAGCCCATATCAAAGGTTCAGATGTTGTTTGATTCACTTTCGAACAGAATGTGAATGTCACAGTGGGCACATGTCTAACAAAAACAGTTAAGCGTTATGAAATCTTTTCTCAGTGTATCAGATGACTGTTTTTCTGAAACCTCAGCACGATCGTCTCTCTTGGACGTGTTTCATCAGGTAAACATGGCCTGCCTCCCGATGAGACTGTAAACATGGTAAAACACATTATGTCTCAGTGTCCTGCTCTTGACTTCGCCGGGCTCATGACGATTGGCCGTTACGGTTACGACCTCAGCGAAGGCCCCAACCCCGATTTCCAGGTGCATCAGATCAGCTGACCTTGCATATATTTGAAGTCTCTGAAATATTTAAAGATATTTACCAAATTTGGGGTCAGAAAGATTTATTTATTTATTTGTTTTCATAAGAAGTGTCTTCTGCTCACCGATGATGCATTTATATGATTAAATACAGCAATATTGTAAAATATTAAAATTTAAATATTTGTTTTTTAAAATAATATTTATTTCTGTGATGGCAAAGCTGGATTTTTAGCATCATTACTCCAGCCTTCAGTGTCACATGTTCTTTTAGAAACCATTCTAACATTTCTTGTTATCATCAATGTTGACCACTTTTGCTGTTTAATAATTTTGTAGAAACTGTTATTCAAGCTCACTTCATGCTAAAAGGATGTTGCAACATAGCATGTGAAATGCAAGTATGTAAATTAATCTATGTGGTGTCTAGATGCTTTTGAAACGTCGTGAGGAAGTCTGTGAAAGTCTGAAGATCCCAGTAGAGCAGGTTGAGCTCAGTATGGGCATGTCTACTGACTTTGAACATGCAGTAAGTGTTGCTTCATTTCAATTGTACTTTCATTTTATTGCAAAGTCGATTTTGTTCAATTTGTATTGTTTTTCCAATTAGATAGAGGTTGGCTCTACAAACGTACGTGTCGGCAGCACTATTTTCGGCACCCGAGAATACCCTAACACCCCGAGCCCCAGTCCGGAGAGAAAGCCAAAGGTCGTCTGTGAGGAAGCA